GTGCTGCAAGGCCGGCTCTGCCGCAGAGCTGCCAAGGAGAGCCCCGATTAAAGGGCACGTTGTCCCTCCGTGCCCCAGCCCCGGAGCCGGGAGCGCTCCCAAATCCGCACCCGTAAAGGATTAACGGAGACGAGAGGTAAAACACAGGAGGAAGCGGCGCCCAGAGCAGCGAAGGGGCAGCGGGAGCTGCGGTTGCCAGCGCAGRGCTTGCAGGGAGAGGGATCCAGCTCGGAGCCTCTCCGGCGGCTCCGGGAGGACGCGGATGGGCAGCCAGCGGGAGCAGGGCTGGAGCGGGGCCTGCTTTGGCAGCTCGGACAMTTCTACTCGAGCGTTCGGCAGGGAATGTATTTTTGGAGCATTAAAGATCAACTGTTTCGGAGGGCGGCCAATCCCTTCCGAGAGCGGCACCGAAGGAGGTCAGTGGGATGCGGCTGCTCAAATATTTTGTCCATGACCATCATCTCTCACCCCCTCAAGTATTTACAGACCTGAGAGCATTTCCTGCTGTTCCCCCTCCCTTGAAGAGCTGGTGGCTCTGCTCGCTCGAGCAGGATGGTGCTGGTGACCCATGGGGGAGAGGAGGGAAGCGGGAAAGGAGGGAAGGAGAAAAGTAGGGAAGGTGGAGAAAAGGAGAAGAGGAGAGAAGGAGAGAAGGAGGGAAACAAGACAGGAGGAAAAGAGAAAAGAAGGACCATTCCACACTGCCCTTCAGGACAGAAAATAAAACTAAAGCAGCGCAGCATGCTCAGCCGCACAACGGCAATGGATTTACCCGGCAAGAGGTTAAGCAGCAAGGCGCAATACTGAGAAAAAAATATGCGGGGGTGGTGGTGATGGGGAAGCTGGGTGGGAAGGGGGAGGTTTATTCTCCAGGGCTCTGKTTTTTTTCTCTTTGCAACCTCCATTCACCATATTTAGTAGCTTGCGACTTGCCCTCGCGAGCTCACGGCGAATTCCCCCAAGCGCCTACTCCCACAGCCCGGCAAATGCCTCAACGCACATCATGGAAAAAACACAATCGCCGGGTTCACTCCCACTGGAGCAGGAATCCGGAGGCGCGAGCAGCGGGCGGGCGGCCCCGCGGGCCCCGCTCCCATGTGGGCTCCTCCTGCACGACCTGGTCGGGATCTCGGCACCTCCCTCCTCCCGGCGCTCCGGGCCCGCCTGACCTTTGGTCCGGAGCAACCYGGGCAGGAATGCGGGTCCCTTAACCCTTTCTCTTGCCGGCTGCAGGGACCTCGGTTGACAAAGCGCGGGAATGTTGCGGGATCCAGAGCGGACACGATGGGTCGGAGCAGAGTCCAACAAAGTTGCCTTTTTCCCCCCCCTTGCTTTAATTAGAAAAGAGTGGATTTTGGTGATGGTGATTAGTTTGTCCCGTGCATAGAGCTGCCACTGGAAACAAGGGGATCGTAGGGAGCAGAGTGTGTGGATCGGAAATCTGGGAGGATTTTTGGCTCCTCCACATGAGAGCACAAATCTGAGGGTGGCAGCACAGAGTAATGAGGCCGCTTGTTTTCTGAGCAGCCTCCTTCCAAACCCAGTAAACTATAAGGAGGCACAAAAATGACTTTATTAAAAGCAACGTCTACAGTTGAGACATATATATCAGCCAGTGCAGAGCCAAACAGGGGACGTGGAGCAARGATTCTTTAGGATCGGTTACAATGCTACAAACAAGACCCAGCAGGAAGGCGGCAGCCCGGGTGGCCGTCCTGTCCCCGTGTCCTTGTGGGACACCCAACACCCCCGCTCTGCCCCCGCACAGGGACAGCGCTGACAAAGCCAGGCTTAAACCAGCGGTAGGTTCCTAAAGACTCTGTAATGAGACCTCAGACACTCACAAACACAGCGCAGAGAGCAGAATTTAGGAACATGTGTGCCAGGACATGTGCGCTTAATTTGCGCAAGCAATTACTGTGATTAGCCACTAAGCATTTGCATGTGGCTTCATCTCGGTTTTGTCGGTAGCTGAGGATATGCTGAAGTGCTCCGTTATCCTCCGCAAGGAAAGCAAAGGAAACGTGTTGGGGCGCTTCCAGGAGCTCTTGTGCTGCAGGAATGTGACTTTTACCTGCTTCCCCAGTGGCTAGAGACTATCGCTGGCGTGATTAAAACCTCACCTCCTGCTGCACAGCGTGTGGCTCGCTGAAATCTGCGATCTGGCGGTTTGGAAAGGGTGGCACAGAGAGGATGTGGACTCAGCCTGAAAACACACGGTCTTTAATCTCTGACATTTCTCCTAAAAGGYGCATCCGATATCCCCGTCACACGTTTTGCTTATGGCACTTTGCATGCCCAAAATACCGTGGACTACACCGATTTCCCCCCCACCCACACCAAGCGGCCTCTTTCTCCGCATTTTGCATGTGCAATTCTCCCCTGATTTAGGGGGAGAAACCACCTTTCTTCTAAGGACAGCCCGAGTAATTGCAGTATTTGCCTAAAATACAGTACAGACTTCTAATTAAGGAGGGGGAGGAAGCTCTGGGTGACCGGCCAAAGGTATGACAGCTTTCTCAAGCCTTCCCAAAGCTTGTGTGGGAGCAGCTTTAGGAAAAGGGGCCTGTTGCCACCCTCCCCCTTGGACAGGGCTCCCGGGGGCAGTGCCCAGGCTGCAGCTGCTGCTGCTCCCGGCAGCGCCCAGCCTGCCCCAAGCTAAATAAATAAATACTTCCCTCCAACAAAGACCTGAGGAAGCCACCCTGGGCTGGAAGAGAGCGCGTGTGCAGGATCTGCGGAGCCCGGCGGCAGCAGGGAGAGCTCGGGAAAGGCAGGAGCGTTTGCAGCTGCGGGTGGATATCACAGATTTAACGTAAAACAGATATATCGACACAAAAACACACCTCGATGCCCAGTCAACCCTTATAACCTACCAGTCTGCTGCGTTTTGTTGAGGCGCCTGGAGGTGACTTAATGTGTGCAACTGCAGCCTAAGCATTGCACGCCCAGCGAGGGCCATTTCACGGGTGAAAAACGTGATTTTTGTCTCAGATTTGGGAATCTGAGACGGGAATTGTGCTGTTTGTCCTGGCGTTCTCCACACGTTGGTGGCAAATACACATACGATGACACTCATCAACCCAGAGCAGAGCTCGTAGGAAAAGTAGGTGGCAGCGGGAAGCAGTCTGGCGCCCGCGCTGCGTTTCTTACCTCTAAGAAATCGTGTCCTTGGTTGCATTAGCTGGCCACTCCTGCAAAGCAGTAATTTGCATTTTAATGGAGCTCCTTCTAGGAAGGGGTTAGTTGGACTTCAGTGCCATATAAAATAAGGGCTAATTAAATAGCACACGCCGGAGTTAAAAGATGTTTCGTTAATCAGGTCTAGTCGCACCTTTTCTAAATTAAAGGTATTTGGGGTATGTAGCAGGAAATGGGAAGGGGGAGAATGTATGGTAGAATATCTGTTTATTTAAACTGCAGATAAAAAGAGTGGAAAATGCCTTTTTTTTTTGGTGTGCACGAAAGAGGGAATCCTAAAGATGAAAAGCAGCTCGGAGAAACAGATTTGAACGAGGAGCGTCAAAGCCCAGGCTGGGCTCCCAGCTCTGCTTCCCTGGAAGCCGGAGAGGAAGAAAACGCCTGGGATGAGAGGGAAAGGGAACCGGGGAGCGGATTTTCAAATCCCAGACTTGCGATCGCCCTGGTCACACCCGCTGGCCGGCAGTTTGCTAAGAAGCGGCCAAGAGCGCGCTTTTGAGGCGAAACGCGCCGGTTTGGGGCACGGTGGCAAGGCGCCCGCGCTGGCGGGGGGGAACACCCCGTCCCGGGGGGCCTCGGGGCCGCGCGGCCTCACAAAGCGCCTCGCCGCCCGGTCGCTCCCTCCCTGCCGGGCGCTCTCCCCTCAGGTCTCACAGGGCGCAACCGTCACGCGGGGCCGCGCGTGACCGTTACACCGCGGGGGGGGGGGTCCTCCCCGCTGCCGTCGCCGCCACGAGGACGCGCGGGTCGGCCCGGGCCCGGGGCGGGGGCAGG